AAAAAACATAAGGATAAATTTTTTTAAGTATGGTTCCAGCATTGAATTCATCATGGCTTGAAATGTTACTTGGAGCATTAGTCAACCTAAAAGGCATTATTTTGAACTCATAATGTCCTTGATAAGTTTTGAATGTCTGTCTTCTCAATGTTTGCCTTATTCATCCTAACTTAGTGGTATCCGAACGCAAGTCTATTTTAGAAAAAAATTGAAACCATGCAGCTTATCTAACAAGTCATCAATCAAAGGTATTGGGATTTTTTTTTAATAATGATGTTATTAAGCTATCGATAATCTATACAAAATATCCAGTTCCATCTTTCTTTTTAAACGAAGCAGCATTGGAGATGCAAAAGTGGCTGCAACAAGGCCGAATGACTCCATTTTATAGCATCTTCTTAACTAATTTCTCAATTTTCTCCTTATGGATTAAAGAAATTTTATATGGCCCGATGTTTAATGGTTTGGCTACTAGCATTAGAGGAATCTTATGGTTAAACTTCCTCATCGGTGGTAAGATCTTAGGCTCGGCAAACACTTTCTCATATTTAAGCAATAAAGCTCTTATCTCACTCGTTTTTCACTTCTTCCGGTATAACATTGCCTATGATAAAGAAGACTTACCCAACCAATCCACACACTATTATCTTTAGTTATTGTGTACCTTGTTCGCCGTGATCAATTGCAATTTAGCAACTTCGACATCCTTTTCAAATAATCATCCTACCCTCCTTCCTAAATGACAACTTTATATTAATGAAGTCAAACAATTTTGTAGAATACATTCGTAGCCAATCCATTTTAACATCATATCACAACCTCTCAATTTCAATACCTTTAAGTCAGCCCTTGCATAAACCAAACCAACCCCGAGCTTTTAGCGAACACTTCATGCTTGCACCATTAGCTATTATCACGAAAGGGTAGTAGTTTTCTCAATCATAATATTAACTTCTTTCACCGCTTTAAGATTGATGAAGCTATGTGTGCTCACACTATCAACTAGGATAATAATTTCTTTTTATTTACAACATCCTTTAATTTTGATAGTATTTTTCGCATATTTCCCAACTAGGGCATATAAAGACAACCTAGTTTCTTCATAATTCCCGTCGTTCATTAAACCATGCTCACCATTTCCTTCTTCTACATCCTCAAATTCATCACCATCCTCTTCAATTCCTTCTATGACATTCAATGCCCTTTTAGCACATTGATGTCAAAGAGTGTATTTATCTCCATATCCGAAATAGAGCCCCGTTCTCCTCATTTGGTCTTACAAAATCTCCGATTGTGATTTTTATGAGCTAGGATTTGTAGGTTTAAGATGGTTAATGTTTTCATTAGTGAAGGTAATGATAGGCTTATGGAATTGATTAGTATATGGTTTAGTGGTATTGTAGGAAGAGAATTGATTTGGGTAAGTTCTAGTATTGCTATATGATGGGAAGGTTTTTTTTATGGATTTCTAGGTCTCTTTGCCATGGTATTCATAGACTTTTCTTGCCACCTAGCTTGGTTAAATGCTTGTATTAGGGTTGTCGGTTTCAGAATCTTTAACATAGGTTTGATATCCTCTTTGAGTCCACTAATGAAACTAGAAACAAAGTAAGATTCGAACGGATGGGGACAATTTACGATCATTATAAACTTAAGTTCTTCAAATTTCTTTATATATTGCTCAATTTTTTTTTAAAAGTTGAGTTCATTAAACTCTTCCATTATATCTTTTCTACTCGCCAAACCTTTTACATATTTTTCTCATAAATTCCTCCTAATTATTGAAATCACTTCTTATCGTAAAACCTTTAAACCAAATTTCAGCTTTTCCTTATAAATGCATGGAAGTAACTTCCACTCATTTATGAGCATGAATGAAATTCATCTTGAAATACTTCTTACATTTGTGAATCCAACCCTTATAATTTTTTCCCCCAAACGATTACAAATCTATTTTGAAAATCGAAGAACTACGACTAGACTTCACGGATTCGGGAGTTAACGATGACTCATCATGATTACCTTAATGGATTGGTTTTGTGGGTCGTATTTCCACCATACAAGGAATTGGAAGATGTTTGATGTTCTTTCTCAAGCTCTTTCTTTACCAACAATGACTTAATGATCTTCATTAAAGTTTTTAATTGAATTTGTATTTGTTGATTTTGCTTTTGCATTTGCATTTTCCTTTTAATTTCTTCAACACCTTTTTAAAATTCTTGGTGCATGCCTTGCATCCGCTCTTCTTGTCTTTTATTATGCTCCTCCGAGCTCTAATTCTATTGTTATCAACCATGGTTGATCTCGGATAACTCGATACCAATTTGTTGAGTACTTTGCTTAATAAAAAAGAATTATGGGGAAGAAGAAGAAGGTCGAAAGAGAATTCAAAATTGACTCTTTTTGTTATTACTTTGACCGCATGAATTGAAAAATCCCCTCATTACATATTTATTATTATTAACTAACTAACTAACTAACCTACCACCTACGCTAATCAATTATAGTGATTGCCATATCACTACAGCAAGCTATTATATTTTCCAATCATCCCTAACTACAAATGAAAAGTAACAATTCGTAACACATTTTTTTTTTTACTTTTCATAATTATTCATATTCTTTAGTGTGATTCAATTTACTATTATCATATATAAATGTATCTATTCTCTATCAAATTTATAATCTAGAATGTCTTAAGTTAAGAAATAGAACTTGCTTTTTTATCATCTTTCTTTCTAACTATTTCACTCGTTATTATTACTTTTATAGTTATTTTTATAATTATGTCATCGTTACTTTTATAATAGATTTGATTTTTTTTGTTTAGTATTTTTCTTATTTAGTTTGTAGTTGTTGATTTTTTCTCTATCTCTTACGTTCTTCAACTCTCTCATAGTTTTTTTTTTGTATTATAATTAGAATTTTATATATATTATTAATAAATTAATCTTCAAACCAAAAAAGAAGTATAAGTGAAAAATCAAGGTTTAGGGTAGGTTTTTTGTGTTGTAATGAAAATTTCATGGAAATTACCTTATTTGGTCTTTATACTATCCTTAGGTTGGATGAATTATCCAAAGAGGATCGCTTAACAATAGCAAAAACACAAAAAAATGAGTTTTTCTTATCACAACCCTTTTTTATAATTATGTTATCGTTACTTTTATAACAGATCTAATTTTTTTTTCTTGTCTAGTATTTTTCTTAGTTGGTTTGTAGATGTTGATTTTTCACTATCTCTTACGCTCTTCAACTCTCTCATAGGTTTTTTAAAATTGTAATTAAATTTTATATAGATTATTAATAAATTAATCTTTAGATCGAAAAAAGAAGTATAAGTGAAAAATCAAGGTTCAAGGTAGGTTTTTTGTGTTGCAATGAAAATTTCATGCAAATTACGGTATTTGGTTTTCATACTATCCTTGGGTTGGACGAATTATACAAAGAGGATTGCTTAATTGTAGCAAGAACATAAAAAATTGAGTTTTTCTTATCATAACCCTTTTTTATAGGTCACGAGAGATCCTTTAAGTGTTTTAGTAAATGGGATGACTACATATTAAATCTCATAAATACATATAGAATTATGTAAAAAACTATTTTTGATAAAAGTCGTATGTGGGGCTTAGTGGAAGGTCGTTCGTGTCTTTTCATATTCATCTTACAACTCTAGAAAGATCCAAAATGGTTAATGCTATAATTATGTGTACTTCTAAAACATCAATTATTGATATAATTATTCTAACTATATTTATATAAATGGATAAATGCTATTTCTCGTCATGGATAAAACTAGTATGACTATGCAAAGAGTTCAGCAAACTTTACAAAGTTACAAAAAACTTAATTACATGGTATTTACTTCTTTTTTACTCTTAAACAAGTTTCTAAGAGGACTTATTTAATCCATAACCTAATAAAATAAGAGGAAATGTTTTTTAGGAATATAGAAATTGGTATCTAATGACATAGAATAGAAATGAAAGAAAAAAGGGAATGACATAATAACATAATAGTAAGATTTCAGTTTCAAAACACAAAGCAAAAAGGTCTTTTGCTCGGAAAAAGAAGGTATAAATAAAAAATCATATAGGATAAATGAAAAATCAAAATAGCAGCTATTGATGGATTGTTATGGATTGCCAAAAAAAAAAAAAAAAAGTGCCAGCAACCGAAAAAGAGCATGGCCACAATCCTTCTACTTGTAAAATGTTTTTATTTTTTATTTTTTTTTTAATTTTAGATATAAATTATAAATCTTTAGTTTTTTAGTTTCGAAATAAAATTTTCATTGTATGGATTTTGGATGTTCTTATGGTAACATTTAAACTCGTTTCATTATCTAGAGAACTTCTTGTATTATAGTTAGATTAAGATTCTAGATGTAAAAGATTTCCTTTTTTCAATTTAATGAAATTCCTAAAATCATATAATCATACATCTAATAAAAAATATATAATAATTAATTATGATGGCGATATTTTATTAGGATGCTACTAAATTTATCGTATATTTTATTATTTTTATTAGGGTTTTTAATGTAAATTATTAAAATACTATCATTATTTTAAATTGGTGATTAAATAATAATCATATGTCAAAATTCGTTAGTAATTTACAATAAAAAATTAATAGAAATAACAAAATATATGGTGCATGTATCGATTAATTTCGCAATAACAGGAAAACTACGAAATCCAAAAGGACAAGATTCAACGTTGTTGAGTATCCTAAAACTAAAGCATAGGAAAGTATTCCTCCTGCAAAGTCATTGAGATCGAATCATCGGCCTCTGCCGAAACACAAAAGCTCCTCCTCTCTGTCTCTCTCTGTAACCCATAGATTCTCTCTTCAGTCTCAGTGGCAGACAGACAGAACATAAGAGAAACAAACCTCAAAAGGAATCTCTCTGAAACTAACTGACCCATTGAAATTTGTTTTTTTTTTTATTTTTCGCTCGATCAAAAAAAGAAGAAGACATAATTTAAGGAAGCATCATGTCTTTAACGAACGTGAAAATGACAGAGGAAGTCTGGTTTACTTGTCTCACCCATGCATTGTCTACTGAGACTGAAGAAATCCTTGGCCTCCTTCTCGGTGATATTGAGGTTCTTTCTTTGTTTCTTTTTTTTTGTTTACATATATATTTTTTAGTTTTGGATAGTAATCATTAATTACTTATTCATTATATGTGTTTTGTGTTTGTATTTTTTATTGGTGTGAAAATTGTGTAATTCTTGTTGTGTTCTTGGGTTATTCTTTGAAATTGTCTGATTGTTTTTTAACTACTTGTTTAAATGGAAATGGAATTGCAAATTTTCTCTTTTTTGGGTTTTGGGTTTTGATGGGGCTTTTAGGAATCAATTCAACTATCTCGATTTCCATTTTCCAAAATTTGAGATTGTTAATTTTATGCATATCATTCCTATTGATTGTCAATTTTTTCTTTTTCTTTTAGACTTTTCTCAAATGGAGCCGTTGCCACCTTTTTTGCATAAAAACTTACCTTGTTCTTTATTTGTTTTTTAAATGATTATACAATTATTTTTGAAAAATTCTGGTCTTTTATTCTCTCTCTGTAATTTTGTTGAACTGGACTGTAGAAATTGTTTCTGCTTTAATATGACCATCGACTCCATTTCGTCTTTCTCCATTTGAATTGTTACTAAGTGCGTTTTGTTTATTTGTCGGTGGGAAACCTTTTTCCCCCCCCCTAATTTTAGCTAATTTTTCCAGAACTTCTCTGCAATGCTGTTGAAAAATATCGTTTTTGTGGATTTTGCTTTTATTTTATTTCATTGTTTTCTTTTAATGGATTCTTCTTTATCCTTCTTTTTTTTGTTTTGTTTTTGGTATTGTTAATTGAGTCCTGGTATTTCATTTAAGTTGAAAAAGTTTGGATTGGTCTCTACTTAATCCTTGCCTTTTGAACATTTTTACTTGGTAATTGTGGTACTTCAGGGTCAGTTGAATAGAGTACAAAATTTGAAGTAGTTAACATTGACTGAAAGTTGGACTTGACACAGCTTAATTTTTGAAGTTTTGAATCTGTTTTCCTATATCAATGTCACTATATTCGTTTTTGGAATGACATGCTCTTTCTTTTGTCTTGTGATTGGACATTTGCTTTAGAACACAAGGCCACTGACTATAGGATTCTGTTTTTATTTGAAGGACCTGGAAAGTGTACTGTTTCTACGTTATAATCATTGTAAATAGTTAACGAACTTCTTGAATTTGGTTCTTCATCCATCCTTTTCTTTTTAGAAAGGATTGAGAATGTTGATATGTTTAGTGAATTTGAAATTGTATTTGTTCATTTTTTTGTGTTTGTGTACCATGTACATCATATTGGAATTGAAGAAGAATTGAATTTTTATGTGTATGGTTGTTTGGTTTTGATGTTGGAATATCAGTACGCAAAAAATGGCAATGTTACTGCATTAATTTGGGGAGCCTCGCCTCAGTCAAGATCTGATCGGAGAAAGGACCGAGTGGAGACAAAACCAGAACAGTTGGCTGCTGCATCAGCTCAAGCTGAGATATCCTTTAACTGTTCTTGTGTGATAATTCTATCTGTTTTGAGTGACTTAATATTTACCTGAACCTTTTTATTTGCCATAATAGGAAAACTTAATGCCATTGACAAACGAAAGTAGCTTAAACTTCCAATAATATTTCCGCTATTGCATATAAATTTATGACTTCATTGTTTTATGAATTTTGTTAACAGTGGAAGATTTTTCATATTTTACAAAGTAATTTCTGATTGTTCTTTTTAGCATTCTCACAAGTCAAGTGAACTTTTGTCTGCTTGATCAAGGAAATAGAAAACAAAGCAGGAAAGGTCTACTTAACGAGTCACAGGAAACGAAATTCACTCTCTATGAACAACATTCTATGCATTCTCATGCCTTTTATTTTTTCTATTTGTCTTTTGTTTTTCATCCTGCACAGATTTTCATTCATGGACATGATAGTGGCAAACTTAAATTTTCACGTAATTCTTGAATTCTCACATTAATAGAGGTTTTTTGAAGCCATGTATGCATCTTCATTCTTGAGCCATGACTTAATCCGATGGAGATTTGGTTAACAATGACCTCTAGGGCCACAACTTCAAATTGGCATTTAGATCTGCTTTTGTTTCATTGCTTCTAATGATTGAAAGTGGAGTCTTGCTTGCATGATGCATATGCATGGGCATGTTGAAGATTTGTTAGTAATGTTGTATAGTTAACTTTATAGCACAGAATGACAGCATCAACAGGACGAACAACAAGAGTGATCGGGTGGTACCATTCACATCCTCACATTACAGTACTTCCTTCTCATGTTGGTATGCTTCGAAGTCCACAAAGTTGGATGAAAACGACGAAGACCATTTTAATACTTTTTTTTTTTTAAAAAAAAAACAATTCTCATTTTTCTGTATGCTTTCTCTCTTTTGTTGACAAACTTAAAATCGTATTTTATCTACAAGTGCCATTAACATTATTAGAACAGCCTTTTGTTTTGAGCACTATTTATACAAAGCTAAACTTGTAATGTTCTATACTCTAAATAAAACTTTCTCACATAACATTAGCTGTTCTTATTAATGTTTCTTATTCTTAATTTCTACTGCAGTTGTTTTCTTTTGCAGCATGCTTTACTCGTGGTTTAATTCTGATCAACTAAAACATTGCAATGATACGTGCTTTATACTTGTTACAAATGGTCACTATAAATTTAACTCACTCTTTTCCCTTACCCTCTGCAGACGTGAGGACTCAGGCAATGTACCAACTTCTAGATCCTGGGTTTATCGGCCTTATATTTTCCTGTTTTAATGAGGATGTCAATAAGGTCTGCATTAGATGCATACTATGTAGGTAATCTTTTGAAAATTTTTGTAGCCTGGCTGAAGCATTACTTAATCTGAATTATTTCAGATTGGAAGAATCCAGGTCATTGCTTTCCAGTCATCAGATGGGAAACAGAATAACATGTTAAGACCTGTTTCTGCATTGCCTGTGAATAGAAGTTCAATAATAGAGCTTGATTCATCTTCCTCAGAAATTGCAAGTCTGGAGGGCCCTGAACTGGACACTGCCGATTCAAGAGCAGCTGCAGGGTCTAGTAAGGTATAACCTTTGTTTCTCGAAGTTGAAACTGGCAACTTAATTGGTAAAAACATCAGTAAGCTCACAGAAATAATGGATGTTGTAGATGTTTCATGATTTTACCTTTGCTCTATCAGTGTTCTGTTAAATTAGATATGAAATTGGAAAGAAGGCATTGCACATAGATGGCATTATTATACTGATTGTGATTTCCCAAGTTCTTGCAATTTCATTATCGTTCTCTCTACTGCCAAGACCATGACAATTTCCTCTTGCCAAACACCTCCAGACATGTGCCTCCAGTAATCCTGATGCTCTGTAACTTGGTTAGTTCCGGTTTTCAGATTGCTACCTATGCCCTTTTATCCTGCCTTAGGTTATACTTTATGTGGAGTCTGCCTAATATACAGTGTATCATCATATTAAAATTCTTCTCAAATATTTCTAGTTTTAAATTTAATCAGTCTACTCCAGGTTGCTAAATAATTGCATGTAAATCTGCAATGTGCGTAAGTACAGCTAGGTTGGGTTGATATGCAATAGCATGAAGACCACTTATAACAATTTTTTTTTTTGAAGATCTAGCCTATACAATACTATTTGTTTTCCAAGCATTACGTATACTGTAGCATCCCAAGGGGCTGCTGCATGTCACCATGCTTGTCTCTGTCACACCGAGGTAGATAGGAAGGAAGGGGATTGGTAGCGCACATAATTCTCAAAAAATCATAGAGAAATAGAAGATAGAGGAAACAGCCTGTCGGACCTGCTGTGTATAAAGGGGGTCATAGTGAGATATGATTGCTGCTTCTGACTCTTATATTATGCTTGTTAATGAGAATTTGGTGCTTTCTGATAAGCATTAGAAGTTTAGAAACCTCTTGGACAATATAATGCAAACAGCATAAACATGCTTGTTATTTATATAAGAAAACAGAAGGAAATGTAAGTGTCTACTTTGTAGAGCAGTTCTTGTTTTGTGTCTGTGGGTGGGTGTGCTTGGTGGGGGGCGTGGGGCTGGGAAGCCAGAGAAGAAGATAGAAGTTGCATTTTATTTATCCCTTTGTTGCAATGTTCTTATAAAAAAATATTGGTATTGTGGCATTTATTGGTCCCTGTGCTACAAAAGGAGTTCATCAATACAGATAAGACTTTCTTGTCTTTGTGCTTTAAATCTTTGGATGATATGATGCCAATTAATTTTTCTTTTTTGTATTTATGCTCCAGAGGCCCTAATCTTTCAATGCTACTACCGTTTTCACTCGTTGATCTCCATTACTGAACCCCCTTGCCCCCTTAAATCAAAAGAAATTTTTTTCCACTTTACAGCTACTTTTCTTAATCTGTGTATGTACTATTGATTAGGGAGGGGCAAGATCTTTGGGTTTGGGAGATTTCTTTGCTAATGCTGATGCCAACTATGTCGGGAGAGAGAGAGTTGGAGGAAACTATCATAGCAGCAATTCAGGCGATAAGATAACTGATATAGACCCCATGGACATGTCAGAAAGTATGCAGGAAGCTATGCATCGCTCAAATTTGGACATGAGGTATACTTGAGTGTGTTCTTTGCAAGTTGGTTCCGTTACATGCTTTCTTCTAATCATTTCAAGTTTGTATCTGTTATTGCTGCAAAAACAGCAACTGGTTCATGTTGTTCAAGTGGCAACAGTTCTCTTATAATGCATGCTAGTTTGAGAAGGTTTCTCATTCCATTTTGTTCATGGTTACAGTTATTATTGGGTATCATTTTGCTCACGGTAGTGGTATTTTATTTCGCAAATTAACAATGCCTTGTCATTATGCAAGTTAGCATCAGGCAATACTCAATTATAAGTTCTAAAATTGCTTCTATATGTTGACAGTGGTGCTGAGTATTGCAGAAGAGAAATTCCTCTTCATGTTTTGCCCACATGCTCTCTGCTTAAGCTTGATTCTCCTTTGATATCATTTGGTGATTTGCAACGTGTGTTATATGAAGAGGAGCGAGGAGCATACAACCAAGCCATCTTGCAGAATATGAGGTAATCATGATGGCGCAGAAACTTGTCATTTACACTTTCTTTTTCTGTTTGTGTTTGTACAGTTACTTTGACCATCGTTTATTCTTTTCTAATGTTCTGCATTTTACATAGGAATGGAAAAGTACACCCCCTGACTTTCATTCACCACACAGCAACATATCAGGCTTCCATGTGCAAATTGATTGAATATTGGTTAGGAGCAATCAGACTTCCCTTCTAATCAACTTTTTGTTGCATCTCTTTTTCCTTTTTGAACTTTTGCTTATATTATTTTCTGTTAATATTTGTTCTACTTGAAACTTGCAGTCTAAGTCCTGCCATAAATGCGCTCCAGGGCCGCTTGAGAGAGAATGAAATTCGGGTATAGAATTAAATAAAATGCATGCATTTGATAGGCAATCAGAAAGGCTTATTATTATCTTCTCTTCAGAGAAAAAGGGGGCTATTATCATAGCAAGTCTTTTCAATTTTAAAGGGCTATTTTTTTGTCTAACAATGAAGTTTTGGGCTGCCAAAAAATAGCTTCTAATAATCGGTGGTGCCATACAGCATCTTTTTGTTGATTTACTTAATTAGATCGTCTCTGTTGGAAGCTATGTATCTAGACTAAAGACTAAACTGCTTTTGTGAAACAGTTGGCAACACTTACTGATGAAACCAAGAGTTTGGAGATGGAAGCCTCTAAAGGAAGTGAGTTAAGTTCCAGATCTCCCCGTCAAGTGCCATCTCATGGACTCCGAGGAAGTGCTTCGTCTGGTCAGAGGGACTTTCATGATTCATCAGAATCTTTTAGCTCGAGGACTGTTGCCAGCCGAAGTAGAACAAGCTCCTCATAGAGCTCCGAACTAAACCTCTTTTTAGTGCATTTTGTAAGTGTGATATCTGGATGTTGAATAGGTTTTCCTTTGTTTTCATGCTAGTAAATTTGTAATTAATAGATAATACAAATGCAGTTCAGAATATAAACACGCCTGTGCTTCTTTCCCCTTCAAACCGTCATTCCATAGGATGTCCATTAATGAGGAAATGGATAAACTAAAGTGTAATTTTATAGCCAACTAATTTCTTGAATGATCAAGCAAGAGCACTACCTCGTGATATGTCAACCATATCAACCGACCAGTAGGTCTGGAGAAATAGCCGAAAATGTAATTATGGCATTTGGCTTTGCTTAATTTTCCCAGCAGAAGCAAATATCGATTCTTATATAATAATTCAATGCCAAATATAAGGCATTATATATATATATATATATAACCAAACAGTTAAGCACCAAGATAAAGAATCATTCAATCTGTTTTCAGCATCAATTCTCTTCTTTTTTGGTTGCACATATACATGGTAAGATGATACGGAGAAAACCAAATCTTAGCATAAAACTGAACGTGATGAAATGGGATTAAGCAAAATATCTTTAAAGAAAATAAATCAAGCAAAGATTAACTAAGGCAAATAAAATCCAATAAAATAATTTTAAAAGAAATTATCCTATATACTAAAGAAAAACGTTTTTTCATCGTAGAAATAAACAGTGTCAATCACTCGTTCATTTGCTATAGTGTTTTTTTATTTTTTATTTTCATTATTATTTTTTGGCTAGACCTCGTTGCCCCCTCCGTTTACTCGTTCATTTGTACAGTAAACGGCTTCCTTTTTTTTCTTTTTTAAACATTGAATTTCTTTTTTTTTTTTAATTTCTGTTTCTTAATAGTATTTGGTGTTAAAATTTTAAAAGAACCAACAATTAATTAGGTGTTAAAATTTTAAAGAAACCAACAATTTATTTCCTTTATTATTTATTTTTAAAATTTTAAAAAATAAATAAGAAATAGTTAAATACAAAATTTTTTATTAAAAAATTATGATTATTTTTTACCATAAAACAGATTATTAAATTGAAATAATTTTTCTAAACGATTTTATATATTTTATCCAACTCGCAGAGCATAGCGCGAGATAAAAAATCTAATATTATATACTAAAGAAAAACCATTTTTCATCGTAGCAATGAATAGTGTTAATCACTATTCATTGCTATATTACTTTGGCTTTTTTTGGTTTTTTAAGTTTTCATTTTTTTTTTGCCAGCACCCACTGGCCTCCCCCTCCCTTTTTTTTTACCTCGTTTATTGTTTATTTGAATGGTAAACGGCTTGTCCTCTTTTTTTTTTTTTTTTCTCTAAACACTATTTTTTTTTAATTTTCGTTCGTTTACTATTCACATGAACAGTAAACGGTTAGCCTCCTTTTTTTTTTTCCTAAACATTGAATTTTTTTAATTTTAATTTCTTAATAATATTAGGTGTTAAAATTTTAAAAGAACCAATAATTAATTGGGTGTTAAAATTTTAAAGAAATCAATAATTTATTTAATTTATTATTTATTTCTAAAATTTAAAAACACAAATAAGAAATAGTTAAATATAAATTTTTTTCATTTAAAAATTATAATTATTTTTTTATCATAAAACAGATTATTAAACTGAAATAATTTTTTTATATAATTTTATATATTTTATCCAATCCGCATAATATCGTTGATAAAAAATCTAGTATAACTAAAGTAAAAGTGGTATATTCTTTCTTTTTTACCAAAACACACGCGCACACAACGACACAATGGAAAGAAAAAGAAAGGAAGGAGAGTTTAGTCAGGGAGTGACAGAGAAAGAAAAAGCAGAATACTATTTATTAAGGAAAGGAAAGGAAAAAGTTGGTCGTGGTCATGCATGGGTGGGATTCCCAAGGAAGAGAATCGAATCAGCACCACTTCTCTTTGCTGTTGTTGGCTCTTCTTTACAGTTTGCTCCTCTTCTCCCCTTTACCCTTCTCCAAGAGAATGGAAGACAGATATCTTATGGATATGTAGTACTCCTATATGTGTTGTTCTTTGAGAGAGTAATAAAGAGATTAAAGGGGTTTTAATTGGAATAGCAGCCGCAGAAAAGGAAAAGGTGGTCAAAATGAAACCTCTCCTCGATTAACTTGTTATTCCATCATTTCCAGCCTTCAACTATCTTTATTGAAACTCTCCAGTTGCCTTTCTCTTTTTCCTAATTTTTGTTTTTCTATTTACATATATGGTTACAAAATATCCCTCTGTATATCCACAGCTTATATATATGGTTCAATTATTAAACACGTGCATGGTTCACCAAGAAGGAAATTAAAAAGAAAAATATATATGAAAATATTAATTAACTAGAGGTAGGAGAACAGATTAGCTAGGTTTGGTATCCATGAAAACTAATAGCAATAGAAAATATATCTTCCTTCTAGTCAGACAGTACTCTTGTATATGCGTTATTCAAAGGAAAACTATAGCATGAACAAGGGAATATTCAAATTCGTAAAGCAACAACAATTTAGCAAGGCATTCACCCCCCAAAAAATTGCTGATTCTCAAAGTAATGTTGATAGAGACATGACTCATCATGGAAATAATTGAGATAAGAAGTGGGCCTTCCTAAAGTTTATACTACCAAGAGTACTTATTACATGTTTACCAATATATGCTTATTAGGATTCCTTAGTAAGATACTATGCATTCTGGGATTGATTTTTGGTTTTCTGGTCGATCTACCAGCCATTTTAATTGCGATTACGTTTGAAAACAGCTAGTGATTTGAGGGTCCCGGATGATTTGGTCAAAGGGGCCTTTCTAGGGTTCGTGGTTCACTTGATTAACTAGATTTTTGGATTAGGGCTGTTGTGCTTATAGGCTGACAATATCTTCTGTTTGCTTTATGTGGGATCCAGAATTGTTGGTCTAACTTACATGGACTGAATGTGACTATCTAAAGCTCAACTCGGTTCAACTTAGTTCAGTTTTACTGGTTACAAATCTAGCTAGTGACATGTGCATATGGAATTTCATGATTCGATTTGCAAATTCCCCGTTAGGCAGACATGCAACTTTTCTCCTAACAATTTATTGGATAAAGCAAATAAGTTATCATTAGAGCCCTCCTAGGCATGCATCTCACAATAATAATCATGTTCATTTGATATTCTTCGAATATCAACATTGAAAACTGAATTATTCGATCTTCCACAATTAAACAAAAAAAAAATTATCTTATTATTTTTTGGTTCGTTTATCTGCGTATATAACACAGTTTTTTGGAGGGCTAATTAAAATTTTTAACTAAATGCTCATTGATCGATACTCAATGAAATTCTTAAGAGAAGAGGGATTAGACTAATTGCCTTTTGATGAAAAGCGAATGGATATAAAACAGATGGATAAAGAGAGAAAAATATCAAAGAACCACCTCATCCAAACATTGAAGTTGTTATATAAGATCTTAGAAGATAATTTATATTATTATTTAATACATGTTTTCAAGTAAAAACCCTTGAGGTTTGAAATTTGTACAAGCCCACACTACTCTTATGTTTAATTAATTAGAAGAGAAATGAGGATGGTGAGATTTAAACTCATAACTATTTAGTTATTAAAGCTTTAATATCATACCGAATTATCATTTCATAAAAAAACTTAAATTGTTAGAATATTATTCTCTAACAAAAACAAGTGCGAAATAATGGTATTCGAGCAACAAATTATGCATTGATATATATATAACTTAATTTTGAAAGGAGAAGCCGTATAGTTAAACCATGATGAGTGTGTCTATTTGTGCATGTACTTCTCAAATTTCACGTCAAGAAACCCTAAAAGAAAGCAATAGCTGGCCAAAGTACATGTTCAAACTTACAAAAGAAAAAAAAAAAAACACAATCCAGTCTTTGGAATCGTGGCTGGAATTTTCCCTTTATCTCTTTTCCTACTTTAGATTTTTGTTGTTTTCCATTTATCAAAGTTTTTGCAACACGAAAAAGTACGTGACACTAACACACCCTTCTATTTATTCCCCTTTTTCTGTGTTCTAAGCATGTATATAATCACCCCCATATCACACATTTTCTCATCACCATTGCCCTTTGATATTCTAGCCAGTACAGCTTCAGAGATTTTTTGAAACCCGTTTTGCTATTTCTCTCTGAAGTACTTAGTCTTCTCTAAGCAATATTTCAAAGGTTTGTAATTAACTCCCATCACCATTTCCCTAATTAATCTTCTAGCTAGCTAGCAGCTGAACCCTATAGTTTTAATGCAAATTTTTTATAATATAATCATTAAGAGCTTAATGATTGCCAGTAGCTAAAACATTTCTTGGCTTAATTTTATTTTGATGCAGCAAATATGAGCAGGCCAGGAGACTGGAACTGCAGATCATGCCAACACCTCAACTTCCAGAGGCGTGACTCGTGCCAACGTTGTGGGGACGCGAGGTCCGGAGGTGATTTTGGAGGTTTTGGTGGGCGCGGTGGCTCATCCTTTGGGTTCACCGGGTCGGATGTTCGCCCAGGTGACTGGTACTGCGCTGCCGGCAACTGTGGGGCCCACAACTTTGCTAGCCGCTCAAGTTGCTTCAAATGTGGAGTGTACAAGGAAATTGACTCAGCCGGGGGCATTGATTCTGACTTTGCCCGCTCTAGAGGGTTTGGTGGGAGTACTACTGGAGGTGGCAATCGATCTGGATGGAAATCCGGGGATTGGATTTGCACTAGGTATATGGTTTTTTCTTCGATCATTACATGTGATCATTTAAAATTAAACAAAAAAATGATAAATTAACAGTAGAATTAATCTCGACTTAAGAAAAAGAAAAAGAAACATATATGTGTGTATGTTTTTAATTAACGACTTTGTTAAAAAAAAAAAAATAATAAAGGCATAATGGATGAGACAAGCTTTATGTATATAAAAATGAATCATACAATAAGCTCTAGGTATTGAACTCCTCATTTTTTCGCTTCTTTTTTTTTTTTTTTTTTTTTGAAGAAAAGGGAGATATATACTTCAAGATTCTCTCACTCTTTCTCTAGCGTGCATAAAATAAAATGCATTCTAACAGTAAAACAATAATAATATTGTTAACGTTTGGATGTAATTGATGGGACAGGTGGGGATGCAACGAACATAACTTTGCAAGCAGAATGGAGTGCTTTAAGTGCAATGCCCCAAGAGACCTTAGCAACAGAACTTCATACTAGATATAATTTCTCAATTTCCGGGTATGAAATTAAGAATTAATTAAGTTTTTCTTTAAGTTATTTACGGTTTCCAACATAAGATTAATTGTGTTTACTCTGCTTAATTTCTCACAATTAATTAATACTAATCTACAGTATGGTTTTACTTGCTGCAGGGACTGCATCAATCAAGAAATTAAGACAACATCATTAAAGAATATATCACTACTTTTCATTTTCATCTTCATTTCCTTTTGTATTAGCTAGCTAGGGTCTTGAGGTGAAACATGGTTTAAGAACCATGTTTACTACTTTAAGCTATGTATAAACCCTTGGCATTTTGTTAGGCTTCCTGCAGGAAGTGTATCTTTCTAGTTGTGGGCTTTTGATCTATTATATTCATTATTGTAACCAAGGGAGCAAAAAAAAAAAAAAAAAACTACTGCACATTTCCCTTTTGTTTTAGAGGCTACTTTCTTTATTGTACTGAGCATGGTTTTCTTAAAAGAAGATGATTCTCCTACACATATTTCTTTTCTATTTCTCCTTACTCCAGTACTCAATTGATATTTTTAATATCACCCTTGTGTATGCGTTTATTACATACAAGGATCAAGGTTGGAAACATGCATGGGTACATATATGACACCACTCGTAACATTAACTTAGTTTATTTGGTGGAATGGCACAGATATTGAAAATTAGGCGAGAACTGGGGATTCAATTGGATCCTTTCATGTTAATTTGAAAGGAAATATACGGGTTATGTTTCAAATATAAACATTTATTTAATTTGTATTTAGTGATCTAGATTAGATTAAAAAAAAAAAGAATTAAAAAATAGTTACATTTTTGTTATTTTTAACATGCATGTACCGAAATCAAACCCATCTATTCATTTTGAGTTGACCAACTAATTTGCTATCTGTGTTACGTTGCATATAGATAAAAAAAAAATGAAATCATTTAAAAAAATCTGTTTTAATGGAAATGACAACCGACGTATTATCTGCTTGCATCTTCCAAAGTAGTTAGGGTCCTCGAAAATATCATCGAATTAAAAATGGAGACACAACATTCCGCCCTCACGAATCCAATTTCACCACCAATTTTGTCTTAAAATTTTAAAATATTTTTAGGTCTTTATCTCTTTTTTCCAACCATTTCATGGTTTAAAATTACTTTAAACAAACTCTTCTAACCAAAACAAACACAAAAGCCATGATTAACAGTTATAGTGGTCGGAATGAGCTTCCTCTTCTCTCTTGGTTTCTCTCTTTTCTTTATAATCATGATGAAAATAAAATTATGAATTGAAATAAAAATACTAAAATAATTTGAGACAAAAGTATAATATTAATCAATTCGATCACTTAAATGGCTAAAAAAGCCTTAAAATCACAAAAATACTACCAACAACACTAATAAATGAACATTGGAGTTTAGTTTAGTTTATTTGAACAATCTTTTGTGAGGGACAATTTACTGTTAATATTCAATACCTATATCTTTTACTTGTTTTTATTACCAAATATGAGACGAGGGAACATAAAATGATTCCAATCCAATCCTAGTATATCTAAAAAGTTGGGTACTATTCTTTAATTATAAAATAAGTTTCGTGAATGAGACTTTTTTTTTTTTTTTCAGATTTGAAACTCGAAAAATCTTTCACCGTACATTTTCACCTCTTTTAACATTTGTAAGTTGTTTAAATTAAACTAATTTTTGGATGAACCTAGTAATTGTTTGGTGTAATATTATCCAGATGAAGTCATGAAGCAATATTAGGTATGAAAGTGGAGAAATCTGTCCATCTCATGAAGCAAAAATACTGCCTTTTGCAATTTGAACCAAATTAAATGATGAAAACCTTTATTCCTTTTCGCTGCTTGTTGTGAAAAAAAAAACAAAAAAACAAAAACAAAAAAACAAAAGAAAATCTTACTAATTAATTAGCATCCAAAAAGAGGTTTAAAGGTGTATGCATACGAAATTTAATTTGAGATGTCTGTATATGTTCAACTTTTGTAAAATTAATTAATTTAGTTAATTTCTATTATGTATTAATGTATGTTAATTCTTTTTTATATAGATCCAAATTAGACAACAAATGGATTAAACTAAGAACGGATCAATTCAACTTCGGGTCTTGGATCACAAAGATGAACATGGATGTTTTAAAAAGGCCAACCTCAATGTCTTGCTTTGGAATGCATTAAAAATTGGTTTGATGGACTCGGAGTATGATCTCCTAAAAGAAGACCTAATTATTACTTCTTTTAGCTTTGCTAGCAAGTTATAATAGTTTAATCCAAATAATCTAAATCCCGCAAATCAAATTTGGTCGTTCAAACTTAGATTATGTGATATGATCCTAACGGTCAAGGGCTATCTTCTGTCACTTTAAATACCAGACCTCACATCATTGTAAAGGGATCAAGATTTTTATATCGGAGAACTTTTAATTTTAAAATTTTCAATCTTTAGCAAAAGAAACACATGAATTCTCTATCTTAAAACTCTCTCACTCACATAACAAACAACAGCTTAACACTACCGAAAAAACTTAATTAGCAATGGTTATTTAGCGATGATTTTTAAAACCATCGCTAACTATCTCTAAAACCATGAAATAGCGATGGTTTTAAGCAATTCATAGTTATTTTTTTGTCATATGTTAGTTTTTAGCGATGGTTTTAAAAGCTGTCACCATTGCGGTAAAAAAGAGTGTTTTTAGTGATGATTTCTAAAAAATCATCATTAAAAAGCTTTTTTTTTTTTATAGAATTAGTGGGGGTTTTAACTAAATCATCTCTAAATCCAAAGAAATAGGTTTTTTTGTGACGGTTTTTTAGAAACCGTCGCTAAAAACTCATTTTTTCGAGTGATTTTAGCAACGATTTTTTACAAACCATCGCTAAAATCATCAAGCCAAAAAATCTAAAAAATATTGGGTTATAACGATGGTTTTTTTGTTAAAAACCATCGCTAAAGATCGATATTAGCATCGATTTTCTGAAACAGTAGCTAATTTTGGTACCATTAGAGGGAAACGAAACTTTTGAAAAAAAAAAAACATTTAGCGATGGTTTTGAACCGTCATTAAAAATTAAAATTCTTAAATACTTATTGTTTGAAATTTTCCCTATTTCTTCATCTTCTCTTTTTCTTCTTATTCTTTTCGGCAGCTACTGACTCCATCCTTTTCCCCATTTCCCCTCCATTACATCAGCAAGTACCTTAAAGCTCTCATTTTATCTTCTTTTCTTCTTCCCTTTTTCTCCTCCCTTTTCTTCTTCTTTCTCTCATTTCCTCCTCCTCCTCCCTTCCCTCATCTTCGTCGTGAACAATGCACCGTAGCTGACTCCTCCTTTTACATGTAATTGGTAACTCATTAAATTTTTTGTTTATTTATATATTTCAATAATTTTATAGTTGTTGTTTAATAATTTATTTTTTATTTTTTAGTCCATTTAATTTATTTTGTTATTATAGTTAATTTTTTAGTTGTTAATCAATGTAATTATTTGTTAAAAAAATTATTTAAGTGTTAGTTTATTTACTTATGTGTTAAATACTATTGATTTAGTTGTTAATTAAATTAAGTTTATTTGTTGATGTTTAAATACTTTAATTGTTTTAAAATTTTTAAAAGGTGTTAGTTTAATTAATTATGTCTTAATTAAGTAATTTATGAGTTAATTACATTAATTTAGTTTGTGGTTAATTAAAATATTGAATTATTTTACAAAATTAATTGATTGTTGGTTTAATTATATAGGGGTTAATTAAGTTTTATAATTGTTAAATTAAGTCAATTAGTTGTTAATTAAAATAGTGCTTAAAAGAATTAATTAGGTAGTTAATTAAGTAAATTAGTTTACAATTAAATTATTCAAATTTTGTTTAAAATATATAATTACGTGTTAATTTAATTAATTTGTTTGTAATTAAGTTTTTTAGTTGTTAATTAATTAAATTTTGTTTAAAATATATAATTATGTGTTTGTTTAATTAATTTGTTTGTTAATTAAGTTTTTTAGTTGTTAATTAAGTAAACTAGTTTATAATTAAATCAATTAAATTGTGTTTAAATTATATCATTACGTGTTAGTTTAATTAATTTGTTTTTTAATTAAGTTTTTTAGTTTTCAAGTAAGTAAATTAGTTTATAATTAAATTAATTAAATTTCTTTTAAAATATATAATTACGTGTTAGTTCATTTAATTTGATAGTTAATTTAGTATTTTAGTTGCTAAATTAAGTCAATTCGTTGGTAATTAAAATATTATTTAAAAGAATTAATTAGGTATTTAATTAATTAAATTAGTTTATAATTAAATGAATTATTTTTTAAAAAAATATATAATTATATAGTAGTTTAATTAATTTGATAGTTAATTTAGTTTTTCAATTGTTAAATTAATTCAATTAGTTGGTAAGTAAATTATTAAAATAGTTTTTAAAATAATTAATTAGGTAGCTAATTAAGTAAATTAGTTCATAATTAAAATTTTTAAATTTTTTTAAAAATATATAATTAAGTGTTAGTTTATTTAAATTGGTAGTGAATTTAGTTTTCTAGTTGTTAAATTAAGTCAATTAGTTGGTAATTAAAATATTAAAATATTTTTTAAAAGAATTAATTAGGTAGTTAATTAAGTTAGTTAGTTTATAATTAAATTTTTTAAATTTATAATTACATGTTAGTTTAATTAAATTGGTATTTAATTTAGTTTTTAGTTGTTAAATTAAGTCAATTAGTTGGTAATTAAAATATTAAAATATTTTTAAAAAGAATTAATTAGGTAGTTAATTAATTAAATTAGTTTATAATTAAATTAATTAAATTTTGTTTAAAAATATATAATTACATGTTAGTTTAATTAATTTAGTAGTTAATTTAGTTTTTTAATTGTTAAATTTAGTTAATTAGTTGATGATTAAAATATTAAAATATTGTTTAAAGAATTAATTAGGTAGTTAACTAATTAAATTAATTAATTTTTTCAAAAAATATATAATTATGAGTTATTTTAATTTATTTGGTTGTTAATTTAGTTTTTTAATTTTTAAATTGAGTCAATTAGTTGTTAATTAAACTATTAAAATATTTTTTAAAATAATTAATTGGGTAATTAATTAAATAAATTATTTTATTACTAAATTTAGTTTAAAAATATAAAAGTACATGTTATTTTAATTAATTTGGTAGTTGATTTAGTTTTTAATTGTTAAAATAATTCAAATAATTGGTATTTAAAATATTAAAATATTTTTTAAAAGAATTAATTAGGTAATGAATTACGTAAATTAGTTTATAATTAAATTATTTTAATTCTATTTGAAATATATAATTAGGTGTTAATTT